CTCTATAGCTGAGCGAGGTACTGGTGGTTTAAGGAGGCCCTACAGTAGATGGATGCCCTTACCTACCAGTCCCCTTCGTCAGGGAACAGGTTACACGAGGCCCTCCATTCTTCCTGTGAGGTATTTCAAGAAATTTGTGCATGAGCCAAACACCCGTGCGTGTTATTTCAGCATTCGACCAAAGAAAAAAAAAAAAAAAAAAACTCTATATATTTGTGGGTGTAACCAGTGTGACTATGTGCAGTTCTGTGAGGCACAAATGTCAACTCTGCCCTTTGTGGACACAGAATGGGTGTAACCACTGTGACTATGTGCAATTCTGTGAGGCACAAATGTCAACTCTGCCCTTTGTGGACACAGAACTCGTGTGTCACATGGTGCCAAACGCCCCATATATTTGTGACTTCAGGTCCCCATGTGAGTACACCCTCAGTCTACTATTCGCCCAATGTTGCCGCTCCACCTCCATTTCTCGTTTCCGCTCAAATATATCACGGACAATACTTTTTAAGTGATTGCTTTACAATCTGGGCTGTTTCCTTTTTGACTTTGGATCTTAGCACCCAAAGTCTGTCTGCGCGATGCTCAGTTGCAAGTATTCAGAGTTTCCTTGGGGTTGGTCAAGCTTTGGGCCACCCTAGCCCATCGAGTGCTCTACCTCTTGCGATGAAGATCACRCGTTCTACCTCAATAGATTTCGCGGAAAACCAGCTATCTCCGAGTTTGATTGGCCTTTCCAATCATCTCTAGTTTTCACTAGAGGTTAGGCTATACCTTTATCTCACCTCGTAGACCGAAGGCGGCGTCATATGTCCATGCTTTCTATCTTCATATGCTAGATGCAGTTCATCCAGGGCAGGGAAGCAGATCGAGGGCTTCCTGATACTGGTCACGAAACGTGAAAATGGCGAGTGCAGTTCCACATAGAAGTTCCCCGATTCCACATATAAATTCCCCGATCCCCGATACATCCGCCAAAAATACAGTCACCATTTATTCACATGGTGCAAGAACACCCTCAATGTCACACTCCTGCACGAGTGACAGGTATGAAAACAGGCAAAAGGCATACTAACAAATGCACACCGGTACATATTGATAAAAATCCGAGTTTTGTGCCGAGTTTTGTGCCGAGTTTTGTGCCGAGTTTTGTGTGCGTCTGCACACGGAGAGAGAGAGAGAGAGAGAGAGAGAGAGAGAGAGAGAGAGAGAGAGAGAGAGAGAGAGAGAGAGAGAGAGAGNGAGAGAGAGAGAGAGAGAGAGAGAGAGAGAGAGAGAGAGAGAGAGAGAGAGAGAGAGAGAGAGAGAGAGAGAGAGAGAGAGTGATGGTAAATGGGATAGCCTGGAGATGTTGACGTGACAGTTTACCGTTGAAGTTCTCATCACCCTCTTCGCGTGCAAAAAGATGAGAAATTTCACTTGATTTGTGGGCAATTTGATTTTCCAACCTGAATAAATCAGAAGTTTCAACTCCTGAAGTAGATGCTCCTGCCTGTGCTAAGAAAAAGACTCATGAACATGACGGGGCTGAAGACAGCTGGGACCGCGTATCTTAATCGTTGCTTTGTCTGCCCAAGATTGGCGGGCGGAACACAAACTGCAACTGAAAAAAATGTGTGCCCGTAGCACGATGTAAAGCTGTTTCAGCAATGCCTTCCAGGCGCTTGCTCGTAGTTGCTCGAATTGCAAATCCTTTCCGGGGGAGAAATGACAGTCACTCGGTGTTGGATATCAGAGCTTGGAATGCTCACAACAATTAAAGAGATGAAATGAGAGAAGAGTACCCGGGAGCGAGAGAAGATCGACAGCAGAAAAACGGGACAGAACCAGCATATCTTTTCCTCCTCTTTTGCACATTACTCTCTCTCTCTCTCTCTCTCTCTCTCTCTCTCTCTACCAGCATATCTTTTCCTCCTCTTATGCACGTGCATAACCCTCTCATATCTTTTCCTCCTCTTATGCACGTGCATAACCCTCTCTCTCTCTCTCTCTCTCTCTCTCTCTCTCTCTCTCTCTCTCTCTCTCTCTCCCCCCTCTGCATATGTACATTATCCCCTTCCTCTCAGGTTTTCTCTGCTTCTTCCCTTTGTCCTATCCCACAGTGTTCGCCAATGCAGCATGCCCATTGTCATCTTCTACTCTGTCAAGTGTCTTTGCCTACGCGTATGCACTTATCCTCTCTCTCTCTCTCTCTCTCTCTCTCTCTCTCTCTCTCTCTCTCTCTCTCTCTCTCTCTCTCTCTCTCCCCAGATTTACATTCTCTCCTTCCTTCCAGGTTCTCCTCTTCTTCCCTTTCTCCGATCATGTCATATCTCGACAGCTTTCTCGTCTCATCATTGACCTGCTTTCGCTATCGTACCTTGCTCTTTCCCTCTCCTTTCTCTGTATTATCATTCATCCCATATCCTCCACTTCTCCCCTCTTTTTATCACCCTCTCCTTTTTTCCCCCCTCCCCCTCTCCTGTTCTAGCTGATTCCATCTTGTCATGCTCTGTCCTCACTTATCCATCCTGTCCTCTTCCTGACACACTTCTCCTACCTCATCCATTCTGATAAACATATACAAACGACGACCTCCCGTCCCTCCCACCATCCCACAGTTTGTACACTGTCCTTCTGGCGAATCAACGGCCGAGATGCTTTCTTGCAGAGCGCAGAACCTCGGCTGCGATTACATATCAATCGGCTGCGACGACATATCCATCACACATCCATCGGCTGAAATTACACATCCATCGGCTACGAGTACCCCATCCATTACACTAGAAATCCATAGGCTTTGCTGCGAATGATACCCACCTACCCAGTGGTCTGACATCACAAGATCATCACCCTCTCTGAAAAAACGAGTGCAAAACGTGCCCGTCCACCTCTTGGCTCCCATCAATCACACATCCATCGGCTGCCACTTTACATCCATTAAACATCCATCGGCTACGATTACACATTCACTAGCCTTTGCCAATATACTGCATGTCGCTTTCTTTTCTCCCTGCTAAGCTAATCCTCCTCTGATTAACGATCGACCTGGATACATGTTCTCATGATGATGATGAGGATGATGTTCATCATCATCATCATCATCATCGTCATCATCGCATCGACATCTTCTTCCTCCGACAAAAGATCAAACGAGATGAGTCGTCATCATCACCATTGTCATCCTCATTGATATGATTACCGTCATCATTCTCATCATCATCGTCATTCTCATCATCATTGTCATCATCGTCATCATCGTTCTCATCCTCCTCGTCATCCTCCTCATCCTCCTCATCCTCATCATCGCATCGACATCTTCTTCCTCCGACAAAAGATCAACCGGGATACGTGTAGTCGTCATCATCATCAATCGCATCAGCATCATCATCATCATCATCATGGGCAGGCAGGAAGACAGGAACCCCGCATCGCCATCACCTTTAACAACCTGGCAGCCCATCGTGGACAGAATATCATATCCAGCATTGAGGGTCGGGACAGCACGCTAAGAGGAGTGAGCCTGTGACGTTACTCGAAAAGCAGACAATGATACTTACTCAATGTCTTCCCGTCGATCATCTATTCTACACAGTAGATCGACCAAGAGGTGAAAAAGGATGAACGTCAGGCAATAGCTAAGAACGATGAATGGGAGTTAGTTGGTCAAAAGGATGAATGTGATAAAAATAGGCACAAGGAGGAGTGTGATTAACATAAGCGAAAGGATGCATGTGATTAAAGCACATAAAAAAGAATGAATGTCACCTCACGCTCATCCTTTCCCCCCGCGTCACGCCAATTCGGATTCAACCACACTGCAGTTGTCGGGCGGGTAGTCGTACTTCCCCTGCCTTCCTCCTACAAGGCACTGCTCCTTTTATTATTAAAAAAAAAAAAAAGGAAAACATGGTCTACAGTCAGAAGCCGCAAAAGAGCGTGGCGTCACAAAAGACGAAATTGATAAAAATTGCTCCAACGCTAACCAAAATTCATGAAAATAGACGCGGCCATTTTTACCCGGAAAGACATCCAGACGAACTAATAAGAAAACCACGACAAATTGCGCAACTGAAAACTATACATAACGCGACCGAAGAGCTGCAAAACTTTAGATCTGATGTGGACGTGGACATTTGAGAAATGATCTAAAGAAACAATAACAAAAAAAATTAAATCCTCCGATTAACTATTCAAAAGCAACAACCACTAAATCTTTACAACATTCTCTGTTTCCTCGCCGAAACAGAGCATGTACGAGAGAGAGAGAGAGAGAGAGAGATTACAACCGCGAGGAATCCCAAGTGAAACCCGTCACGGCCAACGTCCTGGCGCGCAATTCTACGCCCCAGCTGGCAATCAGACCTTTGTCTAGACCTTCTACATATCCTTCTTTCTTGTCTCTGTTTCCAAGGACAGCAGAGCATGGAAAAGCGAGCGAGCGAGCGAGAGAGAGAGAGAGAGAGAGAGAGAGAGAGAGAGAGAGAGAGATTACAAGCGGGAGGAATCCCAACTGGCATCAACGGCGGCCAAGATCTTGGTGTGCAGCTCTGCGCCACAGCTGGCAATTATACCCCGGTCTAGGCCTTCGAGATGCCTTCCTTTGGAGAAGTCCAGGGGCTTTCCCCCAGCGTCTGTCACCACCCCTCCTGCCTCCTCCACGATCACCACCCCGGCTGCGTGGTCCCATACCTTCTCCTTGTAAGATGCATTTGCAAATTTCATGAAGATCTCGGCATTTCCGCGGGCGATGGTCGCGTACTTCGCCATGCTGTATACTCGCAGCGGCTGATTTGTCATCCCCAGAGAGCTCGCAACACCCGCCGTCAAGGAGTGAGACGTGTTCCTCTTTTCGACGGGCTCGCAGAACGTAGCATCCTTCGGGTCATCCGCCTGCGAGACGTTAATTACCCTGCCCATCTTCTTTGCCTCCTCCAGCGTAAACCTTCCCTTCCTGCCCACGAGCGGCTCCATCGACGGCCCCCCTCCCCCTCTCCTCGCTCCTATCACACACCCCTTGTGCCATGTCCCTGCCACCGGCGGAAACATCTTCGTCGCCATCCTGTAGTACCTGTGATGGTAATCTAGCCACTTCCTTCTCATTGGCAGATTCGGACAGCCGAGTACGCCCAGCTTCACCTCCCCATCTTCGATCATCGCCAGCGCGATTGCGTATTGGTCGCCTCTGACGAACCCCAGGGTCCCATCGACAGGGTCTAATACCCAGTACCTCCCCTTGGGCCCTCCGTCCGAGCTGCCCTTCCCAATGGCCTTGAGAACGTCCACTGTGGCAAGAGGATGACTAGGTCTCTGGTACCCAACGCTCTCTGCATCGGCTAGACATTCGTTGACGGCCGCGACGACCCGCTGAAGGATGCCCACTCCAGGGCGACCTTTCAAGGAGGCCATGTCTTCTTCAGCGATCATCTGGATGGTGTCGTTAGGGAAAGCCGTAGTCAAGACCCAGGCAATGACCGCTTGAACGCCGTAATCGGCGACCGTAACGAGCGACCGGTCCTCCTTCGTCCGAGCCTTCTCTTCCTCTCGAATCAGTCGCTCCTGCACTCGCTCTGTCAATTGACTGGCGAGGTGCACGGCTTTCATGGCCACCTCCAGTTCCTCGCGGTACTTGGAGGAGGAGGACGACCGGTCGGACGAAGGAACTCTGTAAAACGTGGTCGCAGGACGGTCGTCCGAGTAGAGGAACCCGCTGGCCTCCTTGATCACGCGCCGCGCGACGCCAAGGTCGGCAGCCGGATGCTGCTGGTTGCGATCGGCACCCGGGTGATCTCGCATCTCCATCCCCGGGTCCAATGCCAGCGCCTCCGACAGCGTGGCGCGCAATGGAAAGTGCGCTTGCGATCCGACGGCGCACGCGGGCGATCGATTCTCCTCCGACTCCATCCCCTCTCTCGCCGATGCAGCGCGCCGACACAGTCGGCGGGAATCCGGCCATTGCGCGCGCCGCGTGGCCAGGCATGCCACGTCAGCATCCCCCGCATCCCGCTCATTAACTCGTCTGCTGATGAAGTTGCTCGCCGTGCGCTCCGAAAGCACATGTGACTTGGCGGATGATGCCGCGTATCCCGCCTCCCACGAAGGTGCGGACGACGACTGAGGCGCAGCCGCCACGTGGCCATCGGGAACAGGAGAATGCCAATGGCAGTACTGACAGTAGTTACTTTTCTGACCACTGAGAGCAGGGGTGGCGCCGCCAGGACACGGCGCGGACAAGGGAAAGGGAAAGGTTGGCGCGCGGGTCAGGGAGCAGGTCACAGTCGGGACTTGCGGCGCCATGGCGGAACCGTTCGCGGCAGACGACGCAGCCTCTGTGGGCGCCGACCGGAGTGCGCAACCAGGCGAGCAGACACAGTTTCCAGAACGGGAAAGGATGATCTTCATCCTTCCCTCCAACCACCTGCCTCCGCCTTTCCCGCTCTTCCCGAGGAGAAGAGTTAAACGGAGGCAGCGACGACGCCCATTTGTCGGAGGGATAGACCGATCAACCGCCTTTACCACTCTTCCCAAGGGACGAGTCAGACGGAGGCAGCGACGCCCATTGTCGGAGGGAGAGACCGATCGATGACGATCAATACATCAGATAGAACTAGGCGTGAAAGAAGACGAGGAGCGTGAGAACATGGATAAGGATAACGCGAAAAATGAAGACGAGGCCATGTATCAGTCAAGGCGCAACGTAATGACACCCTGAGTCAACACCCCGACTCATTCAATTCGCTCAGCACATGTTAGTCGAAGAAGATCAATATCTGTCCGAGAGAAGAGACATTCTCACCGCCCCGCCTCACACCGACTGATGAGATCCTTTCTCCTACTTTCCCAACTGCCTATCCATCTTCTCTCTCCCTCTCTCTCTCTCTCTCTCTCTCTCTCTCTCTCTCTCTCTCTCTCTCTCTCTCTGTGTGTGTGTGTGTGTGTGTGTGTGTGTGTGTGAACCAGCAACACGGCTCAAGTACGAAACACTGGGAGATGCAACTCTTGGTACCCTTACAAGGCCTGCATCTGCGTCGTTCTCAGCAAACAGGTCTCTCTCTCTCTCTCTCTCTCTCTCTCTCTCTCTCTCTCTCTCTCTCTCTCTCTCTCTCTCTCTCTCTCTCTCTCTNTCTCTCTCTCTCTCTCTCTCTCTCTCTCTCTCTCTCTCTCTCTCTCTCTCTCTCTCTCTCTCTCTCTGTGTGTGTGTGTGTGTGTGTGTGTGCTGGTTGTCGGAACAACCACTCAACAACTGGGCTCCTTTCGCTGCTTTTCTTCGACGGTGACCTGCTTGACGAGGGCATACGTGCGCGGAAGCCACCTCCTTTTCATCGCCGTTCACCTAGCATCAAAACTCGTAAGCCCACGGTCGATTGCAGAGATCGCACCCGGCAAATCAACGACTACAATGATCACAACACTCAGCGCAGCTTGATCGCGACGACGGGACAATGAGAGCGCGAAAGGCGGTTTGCTCAACGCAGCGACGACACCCAGAGACAGACAGACTGTCTTCCACGGAAAGTACTCACGCAAATGCAGTCGATCGCCCGTAGAAGCTCTTCTTCGACCTGCTCCGCCCGACAGCCAATCAGTAACTCCTCGACCCTGGCACCGCACGGTACAGCTCGCTCGCCGATCGATGGATCATTGAATCACTCACCGCGCGGTGCGATCAGCATCCAGAACGAAGGTAGCACAAACTACGGTAACCCACTTGAAGAGAAGTGACGAAGACTGATTTTCTGCTATAAGCGGGTATGGACAGCGGAGAAAAGGCGACGACGTCGAGAAGCGAGAGAGAGGAGAGCGCGCTTGGATGCGTCCGCGGTGCCGAGGAGAGGATGGTTCGTGTCCACGCAGCTTGCACGGGCACGAAGTATCGCCAGGAATGCACGTGCGCCAGCTCTCGTGTCCCCGCCCATCCCTCACGACGGCTTTTCTTTAAGCAGGGAGCCGGGAGGGGGAAAAGGGGGGGGGAGGGGGAACGTACGAAGCTGTTGCAGGGGCTTATATATTTGTGCGAACAGACAGATTCAAAGCCAACGCCGTCGATTACCTGAATCTACGGCTGTAGACCGTTACTCCACATCCCTATCCCTACTTACTTATCCCTACTTAAAAGTCTGTCTGTTCTTTTTAAATTTTCGGTTTCTGTTTTGGCAAGGAGCAACGACGCCCTTTGGCGCGGCGGTCCAAGGAATGACGGCATCGCCACACCACACACCACTCTCGAAAAATGTGCAAAATGTGAGTATGAACTTACCCGCCACATTTTTGTCTGTTTCACATTTCGTGTCGTCAGTGATGTGGCGAGGCCCTGAACGAGGACGGCCACATTCGTCGTCGTGCGCGTCTTCCTCGCCGCTCTACCGCTGCAAATCAATTGCAGCGAGGTTCGTAAGAGCACGAAAGAACAAAAAAAGCATGAAGAAAAAAAAAAAGGGCACGAGCATACTGGAACCATTACCCAGCTTCGCTTTTGGGCGGCGGAGAAGCCCCTCGGCGGGGCACAGAACAGAATGTGGCTAAAACGAAGCCGCCGTCCTGAGAATTCTTTCGTTTTTGGGCCTCGTTACGTCACGCACGAAAAGAGGGTTTCGCGAGTCCAGCCGCCACCATACAGCCTCACGAAAGTCTGGCCCGGAAACACTTTCGCGAGGTGAGGTGTCAGAAAGAGGATTTCGTGAGGCCTCAAGAAAAGCGTCGTCCCACCAGCCTTCACTTCACCCTGTACTGCACAATTTCACGAGTCCTCCCTTGGACCACCGAAGGATGATCCTTACCTGTAACGCACCAGATAGTTACTGACCTACAAAAAAGGTGGAGATGGGACTACCCCCACTAGATGACACGGATCTCAATGGCATGTCCTGTATGGCATATGGTCACCGGCCACCTCCCACAGCACTCTTCAGTGGCAGATCCTGCATAGTGCCTGCCAACACCAGGGTGGATCGTTTCATGGACAAATGTTGGAACAGAAAGGAATCCTGTCTCCGATCTGCTCATACTGCAGCCTTTCCTCACAGCAACGGATTGCAGACTCGGAACACAGTCTGTTAGCATGGCCACCTCCCACCACACTCTTCAGTGCCAGATCCTGCACAGGTGCCTGCCAAGACCCTTCATGGACAAAAGTTGGAACAAAAAGGAATCTTGTCCCCAATCTGCTCACAATGCAGCCTTTCCTCACAGTGACGGATGGCAGAATAAGAAAACAGGGCATCTTTAGACACTCCTTCCGAGTTCCTTGAACCACAAGGAATTTTCCTTGTGGTTCGTAAGGGAAACTAGCTTAGAGGGGGGTGCGGCCTACGCCCGCAACCAAAAAGTGGGAAACAACATGCCCACCGGGAAACGACACGCCCACCAGGAAACAAAAAGAAAAGAAAAAACGAAACGACAAAACGACACACCCACTGGGAAACAAAAAGAAAAGAAAAAACAAAAAGCGGGAAAAATAAGAAAAAAAAAAGACGAACAACACGCCGACCACGAAACGAAAAGTGGGAAACGACAGGCCAGAAACGAAAATGCTAAAAGCAAAAAAGGCCGCCCGCTTATCGACGGCAGCGGCTTCAAGATATTCCCTCACATCTACGCCCACCAACGCCCGGCCCCGTGGGCGTGCTCGCTCGTTTAATGGCGCGCTGTGAACATTTCGGTACGCACGCCCCTCTGCACACTCCCCCGCCCTGGATCGCCTTCATCCGCCGTCCCTTCTCAAAACTTTGACCCCAAATCCAGCGCCCAGCGGACCATCGACCTCCCCCCACGGCCAATCTGGCGCCCAGCGGACCATCGACCTCCCCCCATGGCCAATGCTGCTTAAGGGGTAGGATTTTCGGCGTCGTGACATCCTTGGGGACGTGTGACGCTCTAACCTCACGCCCTGCGCTGCTTCCCAGTCGGAGCGTTTTGATTCGCGGAAGGGCCCCGGGAGGACAGCGAAGATGGGGTGTGCCAAGGATTTTTGGAAAAGTTGAGTGTGGGGACGCAGACAGAACTGAAATCCCCTGTGTTGGTCCGATTTTAGTAAGAAGGAGGTCCGTCGCCGCGTGGGTTTAAGGGAAAAAAAGGTGCGCGCGGGACTCGCGACTATGGGAAATTCAATCCAAAACGTATCGTTGAACTTCTCAGCGAGTCGTCGCTCTTCGTTTCGCATGAAAGGGGGCGGGTAGACACGTGGTATCCCGTTTACGGATGAGGTCTCATCGGCGCTCGTTACACAACTCTGAATCCGACGTGGAAGCCTTCAATCGAGTAGCCCTATCCTTATGCTCGTCCTCGCCACGTGTGTAGTAGTGGAAACCCTTGGTTCGGTAACGCTCGAAGCGGCGACAATCGCTGTGCAGAGTGTTAGGCCAATGAGGCTCCACTGCCATCGACGGGGCGATGATCAACTCATTAAATCGCAATAACAACGAATAGGGCGGAAAGTGCGTATTAACAATAACAAACCCTGCACCGACGAACCCATACCGCCGAGTTTCGGGAGGAAAGTAGTAGCGTCTGCCGATCTTAGCGACGGCTTCTCGTACGTCCCACTCGCATACACGTATCCTTTCCTCGTACAGGAAGGGGTGAGGCGTGGGCACGGGAAGTTGGCACCCGGTCGGGTTGGAGTCGTTAGTCCACATGGCAACCAAAGCAAGCACAAAAAATTTTCTTAATCATACATCATTCGTTCGACACTCCAGGCAGCCAGATTGTCCAGTCGATCAGCCAGTCATCCTCCCCATCATGCTACAACAAGCTCTCTAATACGACCCTCTGCATGCACATATCCAAGTGAGAGAAGCAAAGTTACCATAATTCATCCATTATAACAAGAAACTAGCTTAGCACCCGCGGTGCGGGCTATGCCCGCAAAATTTCAAAAAAGGAATGGCAAATATCAGACGAATTACTCACATGGACTCAAACTCATTTGTAAGAATAAATAAATAAATAGCGGGGCAGCAATAGAAGGGTTTTGTTGAAAAACGGGGAAACAATCATTTTGTGCGGCCACAAAAAAAACAACAACTGAATGGCAAATATCACACGAACTGCTTAAATAGACTTAAATGCACTTGTAAAAATAAAAAGAAGATAGTGGGCCAAAAAAGGGAAAAAAAAATGTATAAAAAAACAGATAATGTGCCGGTAATAAAGACTTAAGGAGGGAAAAAACCTAAAAAGGGTGACCTACCTGCCTGCCTGCCTACCTGCCTGCCTGCCTGGTTGCCTGCCTGCCTGCCTGCCTACCTGCCTGCCTGCCTGCCTGCCTGCCGCCCTGCCCTCCAGCCTGTGTGCCTGCCTGCCTACCTACGTGCCTCCCACCCGGCTTGCCTGCGAGCATGCCTGCTTGCTTGTCTGCCTGTCTGCCTGCGTGGCTGCCTGGGTGCACTGTAGATCGGGTTGTGTGTAATCCTATAGTCACTACTATTGACTAATCGGACTTGGGTGTGGTACTACCTGGACTACTATGTTATTTGGAAGTCTTATTAAGTGGCCCAACTGTCGTACTATGCAGATTCTAAAGGAGGAGAGGAGGAGAGGTGTGTAGGAGGGAAGGGAGAGGAGAAGGACCTCACGGGAAGACGG